AGCTGCTTGCCTATTGCAGATTCAGTCTTCCCAGCCTGGTGCAGGTCTACAATTTTGTTTCTGGTGTCCTTCGACAGCTCTTTGGTCTTCACCATAGTGGAGTTTGGAGTGTGACTGTTTGAGGTTGTGGACAGGTGTCTTTTATACTGATAACAAGTTCAAACAGGTGCCATTGATACAGGTAATGAGTGCAGGACAGAGGAGCCTCTTAAAGAAGAAGGTACAGGTCTGTGAGAGCCAGAAATCTTGCTTGTTTGTAGGTGACCAAATACTTATTTTCCACCATAATTTGCAAATAAATTCTTTCCAAATCAGCCAATGTGATTGTCTGGATTTTTTTTCTCATTTTGGCTCTCATAGTTGAGGTCTACCTATGATGCCAATTACAGGCCTCTCTCATCTTTTTAAGTGGGAGAACTTGCACAATTGGTGGATGACTAAATACTTTTTTGCCCCACTGTACATCTTATTAAGGTATTCAGTTTTTGTTTGCATCTCTCTCTCATATATCTCTCTCTATCTTTAAACACACCTTAGCGATTTTATCATATCCAACAAAATCACGCAAGTCTACAAATAAAATATTTCATCTGTTTCCTGCTCTCCACATCTACTAGGATCATAAGCTACATTGCCAATTCAAATTTCCTACTTGTAAACTAATAAAAACATCTGAACACATCTTCATATAAAAGGAGTAGTTGCATCAAACAAAGCATGCCGATATCCCTTCACAACCTCCTCACATAGCTCAATCTACTGCACAGATGAGAAACCATTATGTGCCTCTCCGGACCCACAGAACTTTGACATTTTAAATGTTTAGCTGCACACCAATTATATAAAGTGCTAAAGTGCTTTGGCTTACTTTTTCTTTTAATTTCTTTCTGTACCCAATGTATCTAATTTGAGGGATCAAGCCTCCTTGTGAGCAAACCAGAAGCAGTGAAAAGAGTCAAGAAAGTTTGCTTTTTTTGCGATGGAGATAGGGCATATACAGCTTGCTTGTCAATCCTTTATTACATACAGCTAGATGAGCTAACATTGGAGTATGGCTATTTTTGATCACCCCAAAAGCTGCTATTTTGTTTTTTGGTATTATGTCGAAGAGTAAAACCACCTGACCTGATTTTGTTGACAAATTCCTGAGTCGGTACAGTATTGTGACCATTACGAGGGGTCCAACTCTTCTGGTTGGATTTTTTTTTTAGTTATTTTATATAATGGATAAAGCAACAGGTGGTACTAAAATAAGCAACAATGGGAAAAAAGCAAGCAAATTTTCCAAGTAAATGAAACAGTCAGAAATTATGGCAGGATGATCTCACAGTTCCCCTGTTTGAGAATCAAAGACATACTCAGCCCACCAGGCTCCAATGTAGTTAAAGAATGTTACCTCAACATTTTATATTACTGATGTGTGCATGCTGTACCATGTACTGGATGATCCTGGCAGCCCCTCTGCTTTCATATTAAAACTGGTATTTAAAAAAAATTTATAATTTTTTTTTAAATATGTATACAGAAATGTTCTGCTTCTCCTTTCTATTTTTAACTGAATGAGTTGTTTTACAAGGTGAGAGTTCACATATGCATTAAACAGTTACATTTGGAGGGATTGGCCTTTACATAAAGTTCTATTACCTATTGTCTAGTGGGTGTGGAGGGGGTGAAACTATTTTGTGTACATACATTTTTTTTTGCTGTAGGCAATGATCAATGAACAAATATTGGCAAACAATATCAGCCTTACACAGTATGAAGTTCTAAAGCATGGCAGTTGAGAAAAAAAAAAGACTAGATCCCATTTCAAGCTCATTATTGCATTATCCATCTCAAAAAAAAAAAAAAAAAAACATCAACACTTCACTACATGCTTACGGTTATATTACTGTATTGTGTTAAACTGCTTTATGTAGCCCATTCTTCTGTAGAGATGTTTGTATTAGACAAACACCAGTGGTCTCTGAACATTCTAAGCAAAAGGCCAATTTACTGTCCTTCAGCCTTTAGGGAGGGCCGGACTGTGGCCAGTGGGAGTAGAAAATGCCCTGGCATCAGTGGGCATAAACAATGCCCCATTATTGGTTTTAATGGGAGGATGAAGACCCCATTGTTGATATCAATGGGAAAAATAGTGTAATCGATGGTGTCATTGGGAGGAATGGTGAACCATCATTGGTGTCAGTTGGTGAAAAAGTGCCCCAAGCGCCAGATAAAGGGAATCAAAAGGACCCAGCCCCAGGGGGGCAGTTTCAAGACCATGGATCTAGGACTACCAGCTTGCAAATAATGCAGCTACAACCTTTAATATGTTTGTATTGCAGTTATAAATTCTGTAGTAGGTCGAGTAAACTGTAGGTAAATAAATACACAACCAGTAACAAGCAGAAGACTATTTTATCCTTGTCAAACAAATATGACCACATTATATAAAGGTTTGCTACATTCTTCTAACATGAAAAACAAAAACAAAACCTAAACATGATGGAACAGCATAAGTTGCTGTGAACGTTTTTACAAAGCTGTATATGTGAGATGGGAAAACAGCTCTCATTGTTTGAACACTGATTGTGTGGAAGTAAATTAATGTTTTGACTGACATTCTGCGGTTTAGCCACAAGATGTCACTGTTTGTCTAACACAGCCTCAGACTGCATAGATATTTGTATATTCATGAAGAGGTGGAGTTTTCACACAGAGTTGGAGTGAACAGCTAGAGGAGACTGCAGCCATGTTTTGAAAGGTGCTGAATGAAGGGGCCGTGTGAGCTGAGAATCCGATGACATCCAGGTGTGGGAGCTTCCCTTGGTAACCAGAGCTGGGGCTAAGTGAAGCTGATCGAGTCCAAGACCCTGATCCTGTTCAGAGAAAGGAAGATTGCTGCCAGTAATGCTGATGAGAGCAGAGGAACAACGCAGCACACACTACAATATTGCAAGCTTTTTGGAGAGACATTTGTTCTGTTCAGAGTCACCAGCGGATGCAAAGCAGACCCGGGTCGGTAAGATCGTGCACGCACCTCATTTCAGTGTTGGCGCCTATAGACTGAGTCCAGGCCTATAGTTAGTTAGGGTCTCTGTTTGTGTCAGGCCACAAGTGTTGTTACCGATTATTGGAAGGACTCTACAACTTTACAAACTCAAGCCAGACTGGCGTTTTGCTCAGAAGGAATACTCAGGCACGTGCTACAGGACCAGTTATGGGAGGGGGAGTACTGTAGATTTGTGTAAGATTGTAAGCTGTTGTGCTGCACCGCAGGCTAGCCCACACCATACACTGATTCCTGCTCTCTTAGGGTAATAACGGGTAAGGTGTGGCAGCTTAATTGTGCCCGCCAGTAGGTAAATTACTACACTTTCTACCTTCATCCATCAGGAGGCGCCGTGCTGTGCAGCACAAGGGTCTCAGCCTTTGGGCTGGGTGTATGTAAATTTATTGTATGATCCCAGCATTTGTAGTTGTGTTTATTTGCCACATCGAAGTAAAATTCTGTTGTGGCAAAAGCTGGTGTTGGGGTTGCTTTCCTCGTTCGTGACTTCACTGTATCCTGGGGAGCCCACACGGCTTACATATAGACAGTAGAAAATTGGGTTCCTAATATATATGAGATACATATGTTGCATATACTTTGTGGTTAGTGCTTCTGTTGATTGAAATAATGCTAAAAATTATAGACATAGGTTCATAGGGAATATACCACAGAGCTTAGTGAATGAGATGACGTGGTTTTTATTTTCTTTGTACATGGTAAGGTATTCTTTGCAAAGTGCAATTTCATCATCAGTACCGGGTCATCCAGCCCCCTCCCATTCGTGATGTGCAAGCTTAGGGAATTCTACACCCATTAGTCACTTGATTGTCAAAATCACTGCCGCTTTCATTACCCCTGTCAGTCTTGTAACAGGAGGAATGCACCACCTTTCACTATAGTAAACCATAGCGCCCGGGGCAGCTGCCCCTCCGGCTCACCCTTTGTCTTGGCCCTGTTCACCTTATTCACTAGGCTCTGGAGGAAAATGCAAAGGGAACAGCTGATTTGCCTTTAGTAAATCAACTCCAATGCATATGAATGCCTAATACTACTGGTGATGGAAAAAAAAGTTTGTGAAAAGCTGCCTTTCTTTTTGACTGTGCCATTTATAGGCACCTGCCTACAGTGCTTAAAGTGGTAGTAAAACACAACTTTAAAAAAAATCCCTACAAGGCAATTGCATAATGTGCTAGTATGCATCCCATACTAGCACATTATCAAATACTTAACTTAGAACGAAGCCCTCCAGCAGTGCGCTGTCAGCACTGACAGGGCTTCCATCTTCACCCGAACTTTCCAGGTTTGCTAGCTCCGGATGCCTGACTGGCTGAGCCGTTCCTTCAGAGCGTATGTGCCGGCTACCAAAAAGAGCGAATATTTCCTAAATGGTGTACATTTAGGAGATATTCATTTTACCTTCAGGTAAGCTTCATTATAAGCTTACCTGTAGGGAAAAAAAAGAAAGAAAAAAAAAAAAAAAACCAAACAAAAATCACAAAGCTGACATTACTACCGCTTTAATGGTAAATACTAACCTGAAAACAAGTAAAAAAGCAAAATAATGCGCTACAATGCTGTCAGTGGGTATAAGCCCTCCACAAGGTTTCAACTAGTGTGAGTGGGGCTTATTTTGATTGTGGGAGGAGCTTACTCCAATGGCAGAGTTTACATCGAACAAATATATGCTCACACTGGAATACATAGTACACACAGGCATTTTAGAGGAAAGTGAATTACCCAACTAGAATCATCATAACATAACAATTGTACCATTTAACAAACAAAAAAGTTTATGTAATAAGGCAGTTCAAAGGTGGAAATATACAGCATCCCACAGGAAGTGATTTTATTTGATCCTCTCTCAGGTTACAGCAATCAATAAAAAAAATACATTTTAGTTGGCAGCTCCAGATGAGTAATTCAGTGAGAAAAGTCTGCTGACAGGCATAATCTTTACAGGACTTACCCTTACTTAAAGGAGCTCCATAGTGGGAACACTTGTTGCCCACAGCGCTGAAGGTCCCATTACTCTTCACTAATAGAATACTTCTCCCTTCTATCTCGAATTCCCGCATCCTGCATACAAAAGAGGTAGGCAGACATTACTGATTTGATATGCTTCCTCTTTAGAACATTTTTAGTACTCAAATAACTGTTTTATACACCCTGTATTAAATGTTGTATTTGTAAACCCAATATATACTGTTTAAAAATAAACATTTATTTCTTGCAGTGTCACATAGCAGTCACCCAGGAGGAATAGTCTAGAAATTCCTACAAGAGCGTACCATATCCCTTACTGCCCCTCCTCCAAAGTGGCCAAAATCTGCACCCACCTTCCATATATCGCTTTAAGCAAAGTGTGACCAGAGATAACAAACATGCATCTCACTCTGAGTACAGCAGTACAAGGGCTGTTGGAAATTAAGTTCTGACACAACTCCATATTACTAGCAGTACATCCAGTGAATGATGAAAGTGAGGTTCCCTACCTGTTAGCTAGGTGTCTCATCACACAGCAGAAACAAAAGAATGTTTTATCACTTCCAACACGAAACGTGGTCACTTTTACACCTGCAATCATGTAGTCTTCTATTTTTTGTCTAACCCCTGTAGTCTGGCATTTGAGGATTTGGCAATCTGTTAAAGCCAAACTAAATGAAGAAATTAGGAACATGAAGGCCTTTTATTGCAGAGGAGACATGCATCTTCCGCAATAAAGTACATTCACCTGCATGTTCGCAACCCTCTGTGGAATGTACACTGGGCTGCACATGCACAGCTCAGTTCACATTTCAGTACACCGCCATTGCATACCAGCATGATCACACTCCCTCCATGCAAGGGAGCGACATCATCCCACAGCAACTAATTGAAAAAGCCGAAGACAGGAAACTGGATGAAGTTGGGGAGAATATGCTGGTGCTGGCAAGGGAGCTTGCGGGCTTTGGTCTGTTGGAACTAAAGTAAGCATTTACTTGGTGCCCTTAGTTCCACACAGCCTTAGAGATCATTCTGTTCATTTGTCTCCAAAAGTTATGCTAGCCATACATTTCTAGATTTCCCTTGTTCAGCCTGCATGCTGCACAGTGTGAGCAGTGTCACTTACTGTATTCAAGCAACTGCAGCACCCATGGCTGTATGAATACCTGAACAGTAACTGTATCTTCTACAATGCAGTCACTGCTTGGCCACTGTAGGTACAGTAAATATCTCCTACACATGCACCATTTAGGTGATATTTACTTTAGTAGCAGTTGGTGACATCACTGATGCATGCACACTACGCTCAATGGATGGTATGCTGTACACTGAGAAAACTGCCATGGCTGTGACTCCCATATGCATGCGCAGGAGTGGCATCATCACAGCTCAGCCACTCAAATGGCCGGAGCCGACGAAACCAGAAGGAAGACGGGGTGAAGATGGAAGCCATGCAAAACAATATCTTAAAGCTGCAGAACTTGTACTGACATTCTACTTTACATGGTGGATGCAAGTGCTGTTGAAACGCTTGTTCCATCACATCATTTCATATATGCAAATAACCCCTTCAAAAGAAGAAATGACTTCAAAGTTATAGCAGGCCTGTAAGTGAATGTCCCACCCAGTAACGGCTAAAGCAGACTTGGTATGACAAATGGACAGCACAGTTTGGCCTACTGAACCTCATCAGCAAGGACTGGATACACCTTATGCTGAGAGGTTGTGTGCTTTCCCTTCTACTCTACAGCTTAGAGCTTACTCTCCATCTTTCATTTCAGATTCCTTGCACAGCTCCTGGGTGATCTTCTCATCTCCATTCATGGTGATTTTCTTGATTACTGGGAAAAAAAAAAAAAAAAAAAAAAAAACTGAAATGTATTACACATCCAGGTTCCAGTGATTTAAAAAAAAAAAAAAAAAAGATTTAGCTAGATACCAAAACTGCAAACAATTGATGGCAAGCATTCAGTTTCTCCTCAGCCTCTGCTTTGCCCAAAATGGAAGACAAAATTCCAGAGGAAGCACTAAAGGCAATGTTAATGTGAATCTAACAATGATACAAAACACATGATGGAGATTTACTAAAGCTGGTGCACAAAGGATGTAGTGCACCTATGCATAGTGATCAATTAGCTTCTAGGTTTGTCAAAGCCTCACTGAACAAGCTGAAGTTAGAAGCCGATTGGTTACTATGCACAGCTGCACCAGATTCTGTGTGCTTCAATTTTAGTAAATCGCCCCCATGGTGTCTCCATATACATTTACTTGGAGAAGGAAATATTTTGAATTAGATCCCTAATATGAGCTATAAATAGAAGCCCCGCAACAAACCCCATTATTGCACGATGCAACATGGCCATGCGACAATATAGGCTGTTAAAAGGGCGTGGCATTGCTGTCGCCTCCCAAGCCCAATGCATTGGACTTCCTTGGTGCCCCAAAAGACATCATACAGAATGAAACGCGTAGGGAAGAGCCATTTGCTGATGACATCACATAACCTGAAAGTGGCCCAGGAATTTGTCTGATTGGCATTGGGAGTATGTTTTTTTAAAATGTGCTATTGTTCTGAATCATTTGTTAGTGCAAGGGGCACCTTGTGCTTGTTTTTCTATGAGGTAATGCAGTTGATGGCTGAAGGCAATGTCCAAGACTAAATCAAGCTTCCTGCTGATTTTGAGAAGGAGTTGGGAGAAACGCAGCAAACGCTAAACTCTATATTACATGTCACTTATGACTTCTCTAAAACTAGGGGGTCATATATTTTCAGTAAGCTTGCATTTAGTTGGAAGCTTTGGATCTATCCTGGCACGGTTTCCAAAAACGTTTGGTGCAATATCTTGGTCATATGTACACTTTGTGGACTTTCATAATATTAATTGTGGAGACTTTCTACCGGATTTATTTATAGGTTAGTATTTGCTGGACTTTTATGATATTTATTACGAGTTATTTCTTAGTATAATTTAGAACAGAATCTATGAATTAGTGTTTTTTATTTTTAGCACAGCTTAAATATTCCTGTTGGTACATGCTGGGCATCAGGCACCCAAGAAACTGGAAAAGCGGAAAAAAAAAAAAACGCACATGCATTTTTCCTGCTTTTTTGCTACAGAACAGTGTGAAAGCAACCTAAAAGTGGTTTTTTTATACCTGTGTGAATGAGGGCTAATACTTTAAAACACTGTATTCAATAGGTGATCTGTAGGTTTCTGAAACAACTTTTTTTTTTTTTTAAGAAATTTAAGATTGCCAGTTAAGAATCTGACCTAAAGAAAACCTGAGTCAAGAGAAATATGGAAAATGCCATTGCAAACCTATTTGAAAATGCCACTAACTTGACTGTCATGCTGATTACTTAGTCTCAATACCTGAATTCACTAAAGCAGAGAAAGTATGCAGTCTAACGTGCAGAAAGTAGCTAGGTAACTGTAGAAGGTGGTCAGCAATGGCAGAAAACTATGCACCCCTATTGATCTAGGGCAGGGGTGGGCAACTGTGGCACTCCAGCTGCTGGTGAACTACAAGTCCCATCATGCCTCTGCCTTTGGGAGTCACGCTTGTAACTGTCAGTTTTGCAATGCATCGTGGGACTTGTAGTTCTACAACAGCTGGAGGGCCACAGTTGCCCACCCCTGATCTAGGGGGAATGTAGCATTTAGGCTTGATAACATTGTGGTCTAAATCACTTTCAGGGGACCTCATTTACTTGATTTTCCCACAATATTTTTCCCTGCATGTCCATAAAAGGGGATAGCAAAGGTGTCTCTTAGGCCTCATTCACATGCTGTACAAAATGCATTTACAAGCATATTTTTATTTACGGATCTGAACAAAGTTGCATTGTTTTCAATGTAGAGATTCACCCAGCTGTGTAAACATGCACTGCATTCAGAGCTGTAACACAAAATCCAAAAATGTGCATCTGAGGACATACTGTATATGTATGCCAGATGCAGGTATTGGAAAAAAAAAAAAAAGACAGAACGCAAATATTTACGGATCATTACACATGAACGTTTGTGTTACAAAAAAAACATGCATAATAAGTTCTGTAAAATTTTTTGGCCATGGGAATGTAGCCTTACATGTGGATTCTCTAATTTCTTTATGATCTGTAATCTATGAACTGGTCTTATGGGCACAGAAATAGAAGGCAATGGAAGTTTCAGTGTTACTCTTAGCAACTATGTTCCTAGAAAGGTTTCTTTTTAAGAAAACCTGGGCGGGCACTATTGAAATTTTTTTATTGAAGGTGCAAAATTCATGGATGCGGTTCCCATTCACTAAATGATTAGTTACTGACCAGGATCAAGGACACTCCTGGGGAGATTTACTAAAACTGGTGCACACAGAAAGTGGAGCAGTTTGGCCTAGTAGCCAATCGGCTTCTAACGTCAGACTGCTCAATTTTGACAAGTTTCACCAGATTTTCCACTCTCCAGTTTTAGTAAATCAACCCCAGTACGTCTAGTATCAAGCAGGGGCAGACGGACCATTTGGAAACTCGGGCACTGCCCGATGGCCCTGGGTCAGTATGGGGCCCCATGAGATGCCCCTGGTACCTTTTTCATAGGCTTTTTTGAGTTTGGGCAAGGACACAGGGGCCCCATGATCCCCTATTGCCCGAGGGCCCCATGAGTTGTCAGTCCACCCCTGGTATCAAGGCACCTAAATGCACATGCCTCTTCAAAGTCAGAGACTCGCCAGGCAAAGAAGGATAAAGGTGAAATCCCTGATGTCTCTATCGTCAGGAACAAGCTAGCAATATCAGTTTCCATATTTCTAACAGGTTCTTTTAGAGCCTAATAACATTGTACTGAGAACAATAGACATTCTAATAATAGATTAGAGCAACAATTCCCCTGTCAGTTCTTTCTCCCGATACCAGCAGTAACAATAGAAAACATGACAAAACGTGTTATGCTATACATTATATCTGAATTCCATAGGGACGCATGCTTACATTGAGGACTCATGTTACCTGCCTGCCCTTTTACACCACTGACTCAGCAGAAAGTTAGAACATGAACCGTTTGCCTTTTGTGTATCTATATAATTAATGCAGTCATTAGTAAAGGTGGAGCCCATGTACAAGTTATAACTTCTGATAAATGTATATTGTATGTCAAAAGGCCAGAGTGCTGAGATTATCGTTGGGATTCTTCCAGAGCCTAGACCGAATCTGCAGCGTGAGCCAGCTGACAGCACACTTTAGCCCACTGTCAGCTGATTCTCAGTCACGGGAGTGCAAAAGTCAGTGCACTCCTGTGACACAGAAGAGACATATGGCCAAAAATGGTTGGTCATATTTCTCTTTTAAGTACTTCAATACCAGGAACTTCCCCACCCTTCCTGTCCAGTTTTCAGCGCTGTCGCACTTTGGATGACGATTGTGTGGTCATGCAACACTGTACCAATAATAAAATTTTAATAATTTTTTTTTTTAGACATCTAGAGCTTTTTTTTGGTGGTATTTAATCACCACTGAGGTATTTTATTTCTTGGTAAATGAACGAAAAAATGTTTTCCTTAGTTTCTGCTATAACATTTTGCAAATAAGTTTCATCACTGATGTGCTCTGATGAGGTCACACTCATGGGCACTGATGAGGCCACACTCATGGGGCAGGCAGTGATGAGGCGGCACTGATATACTGGAGTGATGGGCCTGCGCTGATAATCAGGGCACTGATGATCAGTACCCGGATTATCAGTGTAAATGTGTCAGGATTGCCTTTCCTCACACAGTGACAGCGCGTTAGGAAAGGAAATGCCAATAACCAGCAAGTTTGTTTACATTTTGTTTTACATGATTGGATACAGCTGATCATATGCTAAAGAGCCGCTGTGGTTGGTCCTTCACCTCGATCTGTCATCAGCTGTGTCCAAAGGACTAAGTGATCACAGAGCGCACCTGATGCATGCCCCAGGGGCACACAGGGGGACGCAGTTCTGGGAGGACATCTATATGCACCCTCCCAGAACTAGACAACTGCGCTGTAACTGTCTTTTGGCTATAGCGTGGCCATGAAGAGGTTAAAGTTGTATTAAACCCAAAATCAAAAATGTAATCTAATGCAGTTTACCAATCCTTAAATGTTGTGGCTGCATTAGGTTTTTTAAAGCTTTTTCCTTTATATTCACTTTGTGATCCAGCCAGTAACACTTTCTGTATTCCTAAAGCGGAACTCCATCTAACACTTTTTAGGTTGTTACAGCTACAATTGTTTTCCTTTTGGGATAAAGATCTTAAATAAATGAATGAAAGCTGACCATTGCAAGAACCCGTCAGTTTTAAATGGTTTGTCTCAAATCATTTACAGGAGTGCATCCAAAGGGTGGAGATTAATGGCATATTTTCTGAATGGTATGCCGTTCCTTCAGAGCGCATGCGACAGCTAAAAATGAAACGGTGCACGTCTAAGAGATATTCATTTTACATATATGTAACTTTTATCATAAGCTTACCTGTAGGTAAAAATTAACAGAGTGGGATTACTACCACTTTTTAAAAATCATAGAAAATAGAAAAAACAATTAAACAGTTTGTTTACACTGTCTCTGGCTCAATCCCGGGTTTCCCCGATGGGATGGAAGAGCCCAAGAAGGTGGCGGGTGCCTATAAAAGTGATCCAGAGGCTAATTAGCCTCTGGAAGTGCAATTACAAAAAAAAAAAAAAAAAAAAGAAGGAGCATTACCAGACAATATAAAAAAAAAAATACCGGGATGATGCCTGTAGCTGCAGTCCTCATGCACACTGGACGTTTTACAGCGGCTTTTTTTGGCTTTTGACATTTTTTTCTACAGCCAGTAAACCC